TACATACAGATAAACAGACACACACACTGACACACATGTAAATATACATGGACATAGATACACACTTAAACACACATACAAATACACACACACTAACATGCATGGAGATACACAGACACACAATGACACTCATACAGATACAAACATGATCACACATACAGATACACAGGCACACACATTAACATGCATACATACGTAGATACACACACAGAGATCCATGCAAATACATAGACACACACTAACACACATAGAGATACACAGACACACAGACTGACACCCATGCAGAAACACAGACACATAGATTGATGCACAGATATGCAGATTGACCCACATACAGATATACAGACACATAGATACACAGAGGCACATACTGACACACATGCAGATATACAAACACAAAGATACACATACAGATACACATCTACACATGCAGATACACATATACTTATACAGACACACAGATAGGTACACATACAAACAGATATGTACATAGACACAAAGATAAACATACATACAGACATACAGATAGATACCAGACACACAGATGCACACATACAGACACACATGCAAAATGTAATTTTTTTTAGGAGTGGCTTCCCTATGGTCTAGTCTGCAAGTTGAGGCTTTTGGGAACCAGAGACTATGCCAGTCAGCGCTTCCCTCCTCTCGGCATTCTCCTCCTGTTTGACTTGGTCACACTGGTAAGAGGACGCAGCGCAGATGGCACCTGAAGACACATTGCAGTGTGCAGGCCTCAGTGCAGCCACACTGGTAGTATTCTGCAGCTGAATCGGTTATCAGTACGTTTATGTTCAAGTTCTATTTACAAGTATACACCATATAACCTGTGGCCATGGCTGCTACACTCTTTATTTACTCTATAGAATATTTTTTTTCTTTATATCATTAATTTGTGGAATATGACTTTAACAACAACAAAAAATCCTGTTATAGCCCCTTAAGCTATCACACTTGACATATGTTGCTTAAACTTTCACAATGAAGCAAGAGGTATTGGCTTGGGCAACTTGTGGTAAACGTATTAATGAGTGCAGGCTCAAGGATAAAGTACAGGATTCAAATTATCTCTACTTGCAAGGCCACTGCTATCCATGAATGTTTCTTCTCTATGAATGTTAAAGGGTTGAAAGGGCCACAAAATTGTTTTCCTTCTCTTGTGTTACCCATTTATTCTTTCCAAATAATTTGTGATTTATATCATATGTGAATGTTACTGCTAATGCATAAAAGTCATGTAAAAATGTGTACATTTATACATTCTACTAATATTTTCTATATGAGATATAGAAGTATTTTAAGGTAACACAGATACTACCTATTAGTATCCTGGTATAATTCTACTCACTTTATCATGTTGGCTACAACTATTTATCAGCATTACAGTCTGGAATAATTATTGTGTTAATACAGCCATGGAGAGGCTTGTGTACACTTATATGTATATGTATATGATAGGAAACAAGTTGCTAGGCATTTATGTTTCCTGCTGGAAATTGGACAGATTATCTAGACTGTAGTCTAGACAGTAAAATATTGCTTATATTGTATCACCCAGTTTGAACGCATTTTCTTGGAATCTGATAAACTGCTCTTCAAATTCTCCCTTAGATCCAACAAATGATTTTCTATAATGTGAATAGTAAAGTATGTGCCACTGTAACCTGTGTTTGTGATACAGATTTGCTGTTATATGAAAGTATTTGTTGGGTGACATTTTGTCTGTTATCTTTGTCATAAACTAATACTAGTCTCCCACAAATCCTTGTCACAACCTTTATATGTTATCTTTAATGCAGGATTTGATTCAGACCTGCAGCAAGGGATAACCAATCACAGGAGAATGCCATTACATGGATTTAATGGTCTGCCTTGGATTAGTGGGATTTACATTCCTGGATTTACATTAAGATCCCCACATCCAATCCACATTACTAGAGCAGAATTTAGGAAACAAAAACATAACCATCCTGTATCTGTGGCTTCTCTTTTAACATGTCACTACCAGTAAAGTATCTGAATTCATGGCAGCATCTGCAAATAGTGTAAATTGTGCAAATTCACCACAGGCAAGAACATATACGGAAAGAATTCAGACCTCTTCATGTGTCCATAGTTTTCATGTTGCAGCCTTATGCTACAATTGTTTAAATTATAATTTTTTCACTGCACTCAGTAACTTGTAAATAACAGATGTTTGACACTATTGCAGATATATTAGACAGGAAAAAACTCTGAAATATCACATTGATATAAATAGTCAGCACCTTTGGCAGTGATTACTGCCTCAAGTCTTTTCAATGTAATGTGACAAGCTTTGCATACTAGGATTTGATGTTAGATTCATCTCTGCAGATCCTTTCAAGCGATGTCAGGTTAGATGGGGACCATCGTTGGACAGCCAATTTCCGGTATGACCTAAGAAGTATGATTGGGTTAAAATCCTCCAGCTAGGCCACTCAAGGACATTCAGAGTTGTACCTAAGCCACTCTTGTTTTGTTTTGGCTGTGTGCTTAGAGTCATTGTTCTGTGGAAAGGTAAACCTGTGTCCCAGTCTGAAGTCCTGAGCAGATTTTCACTAGGGATATTCTGTATTGTCATGCATTCAGCTTTTTGTCAACCGATAAACAGTAATCCAATCCCTGTCATAGAAAAACAAACCCAAAGCATGATGCTACCACCAGGGCCGCCACCAGAAATTTTGGGGCCCCTCACTGAGCTCAGGGTCCGGGCCCCTGGGGGCCCTCCTCCAAAACCGCCCCCAGAGACTGCCTCCAAATCCCGCCCACAGGAATACACACACAGACACAAACACATTCACTGATTCAAAAGGACACAGACACACACACTGATACATACTAACAGACACACATACTGATACGCATATAGGCATACATACTGACACACACATACTGAGACATACACACATATACAGACACACAGGCGTACATAGTGACAGACACATACTTACATACATACAAACACATATGTATAAGGACATACAGACACATTCATAATGACATACAGACAGACATTTATACTGGCATACATACATTCATATAGACAGACAGACATACACACATTCATAATGACATGCAGACATACATACACTGACATTCATACACACATAATGACATGCATACAGGCATACAGACATGCATACATACTGGCATACATACATTCATACAGACAGACATTCATACACACATACAGACATGCATACAGCCATACAGACATGCATACAGCTATAAATACATACATACAGACATACATACATACATACATACAGACATACCTACATGCATACATACATACACACACACAGACATACATTCATACTGGCATACATACATTCATACTGACACTGACATCCATACATACACACAATCATAATGACATGCAGACATACATACACTGACATTCATACACACATAATGACATGCATACAGGCATACAGACATGCATACAGACATACAGACAGACATCAATACATACATAATGACATACATACGTACACACAGACATAGACATACACACAGACATAGACATACATACAGACATACATTCACATACACACACACACAGCTCATTTTCCAGCCACCCTCCTGTCTCTTACCTTGTCTTTGCAGGAGGGTGGCTGGGGCTGATGGGACTGGGAGTCGGCTGGTTCTCTCTCTTCATTGCCGAGCGTGCACTCCTCCCGCGCGGAGTGAGCTTGGAGGAAGTGACCACTTTTTTTTTTTTTTTAAAGGGACCCGGTCGCGGTATACCATGGCCACAGTGCTGACCGGGCCCCTGAAGATATGGGACCCATCGGGTGGCCTTAAGTGCGTGGGCCACCCGATGGGCCCTATCAGCGCGCGGGCCCCGGTGGAACTGCACCGGTGGCAGTTTCGCCGCTAAACGTGGTGGCCGGGCCCCCTAGGGCCACCGGGCCCGTGACAACCGTTATGGTTGTCACCCCCTGATGGCGGCCTTGGCTACCACTATCATTCATCATTGAGATGCAGTTGCACAGGTGATGAGTGGTGCCTGATGTCCTCTGCACGTGATGCTTTAAATTGAGGCCACACAGCTTAAAGAGACACTATAGTCACCCAGACAACTTCAGCTCAATGAAGTGGTCTGCGTGCCAAGTCCCTCAGGTTTTAACCCTTCACATGTAAACATAACCAGTTCAGAGAAACTGCTATGTTTACATAGCAGGGTTAATCCAACCTCAAGTGGTTAATCCAACCTCTAGTGTGCCGAACATCCATAGGAAAGCATTGAGAAATGCTTTCCCATGGACTGTTAGAATGCACGCACGGCTCTTGCCGCCCATTCGCATTCCGCTCCACTTGGGAGCTGACGTCGCCGGGGGAGGAGAGGTCACCAGCGCTGAAGGAGCCCGGTGCTGGATTAAAGTAAGCTGCTGAATGGGGTTTTAATCCCTTCAGTGCCACAGGAGGGGGGCCCTGAGGGTGGGTTGTCATAAGGATGCTATAGTGTAAGGAAAATGAGTTTGTTTTCCTGACACCATAGTGATCCATTAATCTTTACTTCATCAAACCAGAGAATCCTGGTCCCAGTCCAAAAACCCTTTACGTGCTGATTTGCAAATTAGAAGTGTATTATGTGTCTTGGAGTAATGAGAGGCTTCTGGTCATATAGGCCAGAGAGAGTGTTACATTGATGGATGTCCTTCTGCAAGTTTAAAAAACCATCAGGTTTTTGGTCACCTTTCTTATCAAAGCCCTTATCCCCCAAATGTTCAATTTGTCCAGGTGGCCAGCTAGTCAGAGAACTGTTTTTTTTCTAAATTTCTTCCATTTAATATTTATGGAGGCAACAGTGCTCTTGGCACTACAATATTTTTTAAAATGTTTGCTTTGCCATTATAGGGTATTGGGTGTAGAGTGATGGATGTGAAAAAAAACCAAAACAATTGTAGCATAAAGTTGCAACATGAAAGGGGTTTGAATACATAGTGAATGTACTGTATGACCCTGTGCTGCACTAACTTGAAAGTAACCCTAAACCAAGCCTCTAAGCTGACCCAAACACTAAAATCCAAAGATATTAAAGCTACATTATGGTGTTGTAATTTCGATAGATATTGATACGTTTATAAATTTACCTTGTTACACCCCCTGTTACTTTCTGTTTGTTTAGCTTCATGAAGCTAAACTCAAGAGTCAGACAATTGCTCAGAGCACCTGCCTTGCAAAGACTTCTCACTGAGCTGCATTGGGAAGTTTGTGAGTGGACAAACACAAAATGTCCTGGCTGGGGAAGAAGGACACAATTGTAAAGCTTTTTCAAGCTGTTGTAGGTATAGCCTAAAGGAAATATGCATAATTAAATGTGCACATGTTTTCTATGGTAGAATAACTACTAAAAGTAGTTTTTATATTTTTGGGATTTTGAGCTGTGGAGTTTCCCTTTAACTGTGGACATCACTTTTTCATCAATTTGCTAAGAGCTCACTGCAGCTTGAATGTTTCTATATACTTGCTTAAATCTTTCACAAGTTAAACCATTGTGGTTACACACAATCTGAAATCATTTTGCTAATTGTGTGACCTTTCAAATAATTAATCTTGAAATTAGCTGTGTTAGGGCTGCACTTGCAAACTGATTGAATCTAGATTTCTCTGTAAAACACACATGGTATATTTTTAGTCCTTACTGAAGTTTTCAATTGATTAATTTGGCAAAGATTCCACACATATAGTGTCATTTGAATACAATGATATATTATAATATAGATTTGTTCATTATACATTTATTTAAGATTTTGCATGCTCACAAATATAAGGCTACTCTCTTTCTTGAATGTGCACAAAATTGAGTAATTTATTAAATTATCGCGCAATGGGAACATATGTGCTATTTCAATTTTTATTCTAAAAAACTCCTATAATTTTGCTATCGTATAGTCCTTTTGGATCTCCTGGTGATTCACCACTATTCCTACTTAATCAAGCTTTTGAATGAAAGGTGTTGATTGACAGTTTGGGAGAGTGAGCTCAATGAAGGCAAGATGCCTTGTCTAGCTGATTCAATTACAGTTGATTTGGAAAAGCCCACATACAACCAAGGTAGTAATATACAATAACATTTATCATCTGAAGCGATGCACTATATTATATATTAACTGCATTTTATATCATAGGCCACAAAAGCCTATAAACGGCTGGAAGATCTGTTTCCATAGTAACTTTAGGTATCAATCAATTAGCATTTTCATGGTTATTAATTATTAGAATGCAAAACACTATGTGAGTAGACTTTGAATTTTTGGTCTTTATGTGTGTTGGAGATTTTATAAGATATTCAATAATCCTGGGGAATAGTGGATTTTCACATAAAAGTATTTTTCTAGTTCCATTTAACTAATTGTTCTTCATCACATACAAATGTATTATCCCATAAGAACTACACAGTGTACAGAATATCAGTAGGCAAACAACACCTCAGAACCTAATATGAATATAAGTAAAATAATCGTCAAATGGAGATGGTGCATGTGGATGTTCAAAACTAGTACTCTCGGGACCTGCTTGAAGCTTTATTTCAGATAGCATAGAGCACTGATAAATAATTCTAGATTGGAGGTTGAGGCTCTAATCAGCCTAGATATGTATGCTTTTTTTCCCTGTCTTGGAGAAGAAAATAAATGAAGTTAGCAAGTATTTATTCAAAAGAAAAATGGAAGAAAGGCAATGCATGTTTAAACACTAGTCGGTGGTCTTGCAATCCATGTTATTTACAAAGATTTGGCAAAAGAACATGCGCCATACGTTTTCACCAACTGCAGTGACAGATGCAGTATGTGGAACAGACACTTGGGATGTAAGCACAATGTTACCAGCAGGTAAGAGAACTATACAAATTCATCTATGTCACAGGTGGACTCTCCCAGTCCTCAACGGCCAGATCATAATATTAGATTCCAGAGAAAGGAGTAAATTATTTGCCATGACACATTTAGGTGAAGCTGAAATGTACCTGATTACATCGGGGCAGTTGAGGACTGGAATGCAATCCTGTCTATACATATAATTTCTAATCACGCATTGATTGTTTACATCATATATTTTCTGTGTTTTTATGTATAATATCTCAAGCTTCTCAATATCTCAATCTTCTAACACACCAATTTCATTGATATTGATATTATCGATAGGTCTAATTAACCGAATTTTAAGTGCATCCGCAATAGTAGTAATACATATACTGAAAGACAAGTCTAAAATAGGATACCACTAATACATATCATTATTTCTTTTTTTCTTTTTTAACAGTTGAGTATGAGATAAATGTGTGACGAATTAAAATATCTCCCACTTAAATGTGTTTTTTATTTCTTCTTCTTTTTGATTAGCTATTCATTTGAATATAATACTCACTTTATTTTCATTTTGTTTTTTTTTGTCTTTTTCAGATACCAAAACCAATGAAGGCACTACTGCTGCTATGAATGGTCTTTGGAAAATATCTATATATAAAAAAAAATGAGAACTCTAAAGATGACACCACATTCAATGCTGGACCATCTCAAGTACAACCATCCCTTCTGTCAAAAGATTATGACCTATTTGTCCTTTATGATACCTTCTTAAATTGTATCATCTGAATATTACTTGGTTAATTCATATATTGACTTTGGACTAACTAATTGTCTCGGGAATCTGTAACTATATATTTTATTTGCCAATGATCTTAACCACTGATACAAAATAGCAGATTATCACCAGCACAGTACACCCTCACTGTTTGCAGGTTTTGGCTACCTAAGAAAGGTTCTTCTGGCTCTTAGAAAGAATTGCAAAAGGAAAAAAGTGGATAAACAGTGGAGATACTTGGTTTCGCAAGTCTCCTAACCCACTTGCATTCTTGAGCACTAGAAGAGCAGACTATAATTTTGGCTGAAAATGTCATTGTATTCTCCACAAAGAAAAGAGAAGTCATAGTTCAAAGCAGGAAAATGTTCCCCGTTGAAAAAAAATATCTTTGACTTCATGAAGGAACATAAAGCTATAAAGAATGGGTTAACTGGCAGTTGTGCAGTTTGACATTTGACATAATGGAAATGAACACTGATGAGATACAATGTAACATTGTCATTAGAATATGCACATGAAATGGTGTTTTAAAATACCCATTTGTCAGCAACAGGCAGTCTTTTGACATATGCAAAAGTATATAAAATAAGATGCAATTTTGTTTGATTGTCATGCATCCAAAGGTGGAGTTCTACCACACTTTTTCTAAAACTTGTGAAATTGCCTGGTCAAGATTGAATACGTTTATTTCATGTTTCTGCATCTTAATAAAATAAGCAACTATGTATTATCCTTTGTGTGATTGTGTATTGAGAACAAAACATTATTTTGTGAAATTAATATATATACTTTTAAAAGTGACCCTGTTGTCTGTGTTTATTTACAAATAGTCTATATGAGATGTTCAAACTTTGAATAGGAATTAAAATGCGTTTCTCTTCTATTTCTTATTAAGTATTTTAATTCGACCTTAAGTTGTATTTCAGTAATTGCTATATTCAATTAACCAGTAGCAGCCAAGATAATATAATTTGTTGTGCAACAGCATCTGGTGTGTCTGTGGCTTCTGTATACCACCAAATAACGTTTGGTATGTGATCTCCCTCTGTAATCACAGTTCAACTTTGAAAATTATTAACTAGCATTTTAAGAAAACAGTCAGCAGAAGTGTTCCTGGAACTGCAACAATGCACTCTAAAGCCCCTTTAACATATAGTTTACCTGCCTAAAAATTTATATTTGTGATATGTCTCATCTTTTCAACTCTGATCAGTGTAGTTTAGATTAGTAGTGACAGTGATCTCTGGAGGACTCATAGTCAAATGCATATCTTTGTCACTTCTAAGACTAGCTGTTGTACTTTCTGTATCTTGAATCACAACGTACTGGATGCATGTCCCAATGCATCCTTCTATAGTGTCATTATCATGGCGAACAGTAGTTTTCACCCTGTGCTTATATTTTTAATGATAAATGGTAGAAATAGACATATATTACAGTAGGGGTTTCTCATAACAGGGCACACAAAAGAAGAAAAGTAAATATTATTATCAAATGATATGAGATGCTATGTAAAAAGCAACTGTCTTGTT